ATATATATATATATATATATATATATATATATATATATATATATATATATATATATATATATATATATATATATATATATATATATCAACTTAAATATTTAGAAACAAATGAAAATTTTGCTTAAATATACTGAAATAAATAGAAGTTCACAGAAAATTATTTGAAAAAACAGTTTCTGGTTCTAGTTCAAAATCAAGAATGCGAATGTTATCGCATCCTTTTAGCCAGTATGTTATTTGCCTCCCTTTACTCTTGATTTCCACCTCATCGCTAAGTACCAAATTGAATGATTTTCAGATCTAATTTCTTTCTGATTTCTAGGTTAAATTTCGTTATGCGGATTATGAAGCAAAAAAAAACTTACGTAGACCAGTACTTTCCATTCGACTACTCGTATTTACTGTATCACCAAATAAGCAGTACCGTGGCATTTTACATCCCACTACTCCAGCAACTACTGGTCCTTGAAAATAGAACGTATCTTCAAGTATACAAAAACTTCTTTATTTAGATCAAACATTCTCTAAATTTTCCCTTGAAACTTCCATCATAAAAGGATAAAGAAATAAAGTCCTTCAAAATCTGTCACTAGGTAGACTATGAGAATTGTCCAATCGTTCGGGGAAGTACATTTTTCACGGTCTGAACAAGCATCTAGTGAATAAGACTGTATGCAAACTTTCTGGAAAAGGTCTAGAAAACGAGGCTAGATATGGCGCCGAAATATCAATTAGTTAGGTGATCCCAACTGAATCACCTGGCTGATGACATTCATCAGTATTTTCTTAACCTGCTCATATTTCTCGATAGCATGCTTCAGCAATGTCAAATCGATTCCATTCCTCCACCAAGACGGAGTAACCATCTAATTCTGTGGTTTGAGAGTTTCTAAAACAAAAACTTTCCAAACAAACCAGAATGGATTCCGATGCGTAGCTTCAGTTGTTCATTGGGTCGATGCCTGATCACAAAATTTTTCACTTTATGCAACAGAGCCAACGACATCTGAGCAATTTGTGAGGCATGGTGATTGTGCCGTTCAGGAAGACCAGATACTACCATGTATGCATCTCCGATCGTCTCCACCTTATATACTTTGAAATTGTCCACAACACCGTCGAATGCCATATACAAATCGTTCAGTAGTGTAACCACCTAAAATAAACAAATTTAACGACGAATTACCGAAGGCAGCATTATTTCTTCCGTAAGAAAACATGTCTAATCATAATTAAAGTTACTAAAATTACCCGGAATTATCCGAAAGTAATCATGCACTGACTCATTCAGATACTTTTCAATGTCAGATGACATATCTCTTCAGCATGGTGTCAAATATTATCTTAATAACGAGGGGATACTTTTATTACCTAGCTTGCTTAAAAATTCCACAGTATGTGTTCAGCCCAGTTTCGATATAACTTAATCACTACCACCTAAACATTATATATGGAGACATTTACACCACTCAACTGGCTATGTGAATTCTGATTCATCATTTTATGTCAGAAATTTATCACCCAGAAGTTTACTTATCATTCATTACCTGCATAGGTGTTGACATTGATGATAATGCCGTAAAGCCAACAATATCGGAAAAGTAAATGGTAACACTTTCGAATGCTTCCGCTTGCACGGCACGTCCACTTATCAACTGCAATTTAATGAATAAAATAAGCTGAGCAAAACACTTATTTGTATAAATGATTCCTCCTTTTATATTTCGACATAATGATACCAGCAGCCTAAACATTCGATCTTCACAAAAACCATGAAATAAATCGTTTACCTGATCGGCAACACTACGTGGCAACAACTGATGCAAGAGATCTTCAACTTTTTGCTTCTCAGCAAGATATTCCTGTGTTCGTTCTTCCACTAAACCTTCCAAATTATTTGCATATTGTTCCATACGTTTCAATAAATTATCCACCACATTGGATGTTTCATTACTTCTAAATTTTTTAAAAAAAATTATAAACATCAATTGTTAGTTTCATCATTTTAAAACAAACAATCAGTGAACGAATGGCTCAAGAACTTGAAAATTTGAGTCTTTGATTTCTCAGTAGCAATCAGTTAGTTTTCTTGCAATCAAGACAATTTGATCATCCAATAAATTACTCTTCAAAATGGTCGCATATTTGCAAGCCAAAAGAGAATGTTCTGATGAACAGTGAATAGGTAGATCCCGAATTTCCATTTTAAATAAAAATTAGAAAAAAAAAACGAACTTATTCAGTGAGCGAACCACTTTCCGAATAACGGCAAAATCCGGACGGTCTTGAAACTCTTCAGCCCAGCAACTGAGCATCAAATTGATTAGGTTCGGCTCAATTTGACCATCGATTAAGGCACTTTCTGGTATTTCCGGCCTACACAATTCTTCATCAGACGCTGGTACTCTTTGCACACGTTCACAAATTTCTATAACACAATCTAATTTTAGTTTTTCATATAATTCCGTTGGACAAAAGTTTATGCGGTATATCTGAAATAATAAAATATAAAGCGTTTAAAACACAAACATTAATTGATCATTTGGGTTTCCAGCGTCATACGTCATTCCACAAAATTTTAATGTGTTTAAACACCGAAAGTTCAATGTTCGCCATACCTTTGGGTGCAGGTTCGTTGGTCATATAGAAGGCACCTTTTCGAAACAACATTTCATGCAATATTATAGCAAAACTATATGCATCACCCGCCTTTGTACCATTCGGTCTATATGCATTCGGATTACGCAAAATTTCTGGTGCTGTCCATAATCTTCCTAAAAAATAAGGATATAAGATTAGCATTAAGCGCGATAACCACTTAATCACCAATACATTTCAAAAACGGAAAGTAAAAAAAGGAACTTTACTTTTGTAAAAGGCATGCTCGCCGATTTCTTCTGTATTTTCATCCTCCATGGCATGCAATTCGTGAAAACCAAAATCAGTAACTTTAAGCACAAATCGACTATCCACAACACAATTAGATGACTTCAATTTACCATGAGAACCAACAAATGAATTATGCAGAAAATACATACCCTTTAAACAATTCTTTACTTATTTTGGTATGTATTAAAGTACTGCACCATCAATTTCAACTGAGTCATAATAAAGAGTTAATACGATTAATAACTTGTGTAAATAAGAATTGTAACTTTATTGCTTATAGCGGCCTTATAATACTTGCCATCTTTGGAACATCCAATCCTTGAATAAACTGTTAGCACCAAAAAATTTCAAAAATGAATGTAAGGAGGAGTTTAACCTTAACTAAATCATGCAACAACGAATACTTCATCATTTTGTCTAGCTCGATTTTTTCGTTTTCTAAAATATCTTCCAAAGACCCTTTAGGACAATATTCTTGCACTAGACAATAATGTGGACAATCAACACAGGCTCCGGTGAATCTGAAAAGTTTTCATGAATCCAATCGAACATTTTGCTTACTACCATAATGATCATCATGTTATGCATGATACATGAAAGATTTGTTTTGACGAAAAAAAAAAAACTTGAATTTATTTGAGCAAATGTGGCCCCAAAAACTGCTTTCAATTATACTTATTGCACAGGAAATGCACCTAGTAATATGGTCATGCTGTAAATCCTTGATCCGCTTAAATTCCATCAACATAGAGCGGGTCAAATCTAGTTTCGGATACTTCTTTGGATCGATATTCAAATTCTTGACTGCGACTATTGTACCCTAAAAATGAAAAATGAAGATTTATGGATATTAGGGAATTAAACATCAAATATTTTTCTCTCTTGAGCAGTGGAAACCCGAAAAATTTCCATGAAATCAGTGAAGACTACCACTTTCCTAAATTTAGAAACCAGAACATTAAACACCTATAGAATCTCACAAAATAACCGAACTAGCCTTATAATTAGCAGTTTTCGTATATATTTGTGCATTATTTTGCATCTGTATTGTTTCCACTGAACCTCCACTCTAAAAAAAGTCGCATTTCAAATAAAAACTTCATGAAGAAGCGTGAAAATGTTTAATTTAAAGTTTATTTAAAATGAAATATGTATACAATACAGTACCATGTGGAAAATTTATCTGCTAAATCGGAAAAAAAAAAGACTACCCCAATACTAAATCCAGCAAACGACAGTTTCCGGTTACGTAACGAAAGGCTTTTCTTAGCGTGTAAATCGAAACCGTCTTCACTCGGTGGTTTTCTTTTCGAGTTGGAAACCAAAGAAAGTGGCGATGGCAACCGGCCACTTTCTGTATCGTAATCTTTGGGTTCGACACCTTCATTGATCGTTACATGCTGCCCCGAACGTGAAGTAGCATCCATTTTATGATCAAAATCCTAATAAAACAACATATTCGTGATGATACTCCTTTAAAATGAGGAATCCCTTTATTGTTTACAACCTCTAGAATGTACAGCCTAAATTCATTTTGAATTAGCACTGTTTGTTATAATATGTACCTAAACTGAATACCTTAGGAGTTCCTTTTACAACATCAGCACAGTTAATAAACAATGTAAATGTATGTTATTCCTACCTTGCTGATATGATTTTGGACATGCGTTGAATCTTGATGATTTGAATTTTTCTTTCGAGTAAATAAACTTAATTTCCGATCGATCAGGGCCGAAAACTTGCGGGTTGCATTGGAACTGGTGCTCCTCTAACAAAAAAAAAAAAAAAAAGAAAAAAAATGAATTTTCCATTCATAAATTTGGTAATATTTGCACATTCCTGAGAATGTGCAGGCTGTGTAAAAGAGCAGTTTAGCAAATTCCGCCATATTGAACAATATTTTGTCAATCCTTACGCAAATTTCATTTTCTGATTTTGAATTATAGCAAGAAATCACTAATATTATCAATTAACATGGGACCATAAAAATAAATAAAATGTACCTGGAAATCTTGATCTTATCACCTATATTAATGTTAGCCGTTAATGCATGCATGCCTATTATGCGTGTTTTTGTTAGAATTGTTAATTGATTTAAATGATCTGTTAATATTGTTACTGTTGACCACTAGTGACATGAAAGTGATGTGAATAAGATGATATCAACCCACGGTTACACATATTACTAAAAAGGAAATAGACCGATTATGGGTATACTAAATTAATTTTATAATCCATGACAATATAAGACTAAGATTTGGAGATGAGAAGGTAATATGAAATCCTTACCAGAAGAATAAGTTCAAAAATTCCGATCAATTTTAAATCATCTTTCCGCAAAGTATAATACCATAAAATTTAATCCAAAAACAGTCAACTAGACCGAAAAGGTCTCTAGCAAAACCGATCAAGAGAGAGGAAAACTAGTAATGCTCAAGAAACATGTGCTACATGCATTATCAGAATGAAGTACATAGAGACTAGATTTTAGAAGTGTTTAAAAAGATCTTAATAGACCACTTTATCACTGAACTAAAACCACAATTTCAAATTCAAGGAGGACTTTATAGACCTGACTGATGAAGACTAACCCTTACTGCTTTACTGCTGGATATTGGCGACACTTCCTAAAATTAATCATCGAATATTGATCTTTTTCTAGCTCTTATCGTGTAAACAACTAAAGGTGAACTTTAATATTTTCAGTAATTCTTCAGTTTTTGGAGGAAAATAGTGAAAAGCAGTATAATACAACATTAAACCATATTAGCAAAAAAGATGCTTACCAAGTTCATCAATTTTCTTGCACTAGAGCTAATGTAAAATGAAATTTAAATAGATCGATATGCATCTTATTTTGTCTTACATAAATTTCAATAGAAATGAAAAGATTCGGTATAGCTTGCAACGCATTTTGAAATACTGCATTCAGAATTCGCAGGTATTTAAAAGAAAGAGAAAAATTAAAACTAAAGGATGAGAGATGCAGTGAAATCTGTACGTTAAGCTGAAAAATTCCGAAGAGGACACCATGCCAAAAAAGGAAAAGAAAAAAACAACTATTCCGCCTCAGCCTAAGTTTAATGTTTCAACTTAAAAAACTACAAGCGTCCGTCATATTTTTGTCAAAGTAATCCATTTCATCATTATGCACTACTGCGATACTGTCTCAAAAGTTCACAAATTCAAAGGAATTTTTTCAATAAGTGTATCCGATTTTATTAGTTGAATTGGAAAACATTATTTATATCTTTAGCTTTTTTCTCGTATTCATTCGCTTCGTGATGCTGAACTTAAATTAGCAAAGTATGAGTGTAATTTTTTCGGTATGGTTTAAAAATGTATGGAAATTAATTAAAGCCATGCACAGCATCAATTTGTAAATTTTCATCTAATTTCATGGCTTAAAGATCTCAGTCCAAAAGAATAAGTCCATTATTAACTCGCACTATCTACTAAACGATGACGAAAATTTCCTGCGTTATATGAAATATTTTATCAATTTCTGAATTGACCAGTCAAAGTTTCTTCTTTAAAATGCATTTATAATCACTCAGGGAAGAATTTAAAGATAAAATCTGTGGCGGAATCCAAGGATATGAATTAGCGCAGAATGGAGGAAAGCGCTGTGATTGGAATAACTTCGACCAGTATACCAGGAGTCCGCGAAATCCTAAATCAATTCCTAGTCTTATGAAACTGCTTTTGTTTTGAAAAGCAAGGATAGAAAAGAATAAGCCGAGAAAAGGTGTATAGGAAGCAATATAGTATTTAATGGATAGTTGACATACCAGTCTAAAGCGACCAATACTGAATTCCCATTCGTCTTCATCCAACTGCAGAAACGTAACTGATGGAAATATTTGATGATTTAAATTTTGAAAAAAATAATTGCTTCGACAGTACAGCATCTAAGTAAGATTTAGATTCTCAGTCTAGCTTAGTTACACTAACGTTCCTCCCTCTCTCCTCATCACTTAGCTTCATCTCAAATATTTATTACAACAGTGTTCAAGAAACATAACTGGAACCATTTATAGCACCTATTAATCACATTCAGAATCGCCACTTAAATAGTATAGTGGTTGCTGCCTATTGCAGATAATGCTATAGTTCTGCGCAAGCTACACTTTTTAAAATTGGAATTGTTTTAGCTTCTCTTCACTCATTCAACAAATTCGAAAAATAGGAAACTAAACAAAGTCGCCCGACATTCAACTGCTACTTTTTCAGTAAAGATTTATTAATAGAAAAGGAATCTTTTTTGAGATATATTAAAAGACAAATTTTTATATTCTTCACTAATTTTTAACAAGCTTAAGTGTCAGATTTGAACCTGGATTAGAATTTCAACGCTTAACACTCAAAAAAAGTGCGGATCCACCATAACAGTACTAGACTCTCTATGAAGACAGTCAGTGGGTGTATCGTAATGTAATTTTGTAATGCAATTTTGATCAAAAAAAAAATGCGTTATGTTATTGAATTTCTTCACTTTTCCTACTTAGACTGTTAACAATATATAATAACTTTGTCCAGTTAGCATCATTATATTATGAATGGGTTTTTCATTAGTCTACAAAAATCAAAATTTCAAAAGTTCCAAATCAAAATAAAATTCAAATCAAGCCAAAACTTCACGAGGATCTGAACAGAAGCGTAAAAATCAAGAAAATCTAAACGAAGTACAAAAAGTCGAACATTTTCGCTGCCATTTGATGTCCTGCTATAGGAGCGGAGCAGCGCTTCGGATTCAAAACTGAATCCATGCAAACGTCGCATTCGCCTGCTCTTCTTTTTGTCTTTCTTCACTTCATCACCGTCCAAGTCCTCCCAGCGAATTTTCCATGACATTGCTGCCAACTCAGCTTCTAATCGGTACCGTCTGAAGTTAGGAATGGCAGGTTATACAATAATATGACAATGGTAATAAATGGCAGTGTACTTAAATATTAAAATGTTTCACCGTTTAATTTAGCATCCTTTCTATCATCTAGCATCCTTTCAAGCATCCTTTCTATGCATTTAACTGTCTCATTAAGATTTCAAGGAATTTAAGCTTCGGGGAACCTAAAGCAATCAATATATACCAAAGTGTTGACAACTTGTGAATCTCATGGGTTACTTCCTAAGTAAAATCCTAGAGAAGTTGATAGAATAAGGACCAACCTCCAGAAATAAATGAAACCAGACATGAGTATCAAGATGAAAATAGTAGAGCCACTGAGCAGATACACATAAAACGGATAACCTTCGGGACATTTTGAATGGTCCCAACCACATATTGGTGAATCTCTCGGTGGACTGCCACCAACCCAGTGAAATTCTGCCACTTGTTTCAATTCGTTTGATGCACCCGAATAATATGCGACTTCCTAAATCACGGTTGCATATTTCTATTATTTTTGTACCTCCCGAACAGTAGATAGGAGATTGTATATGAGGACTGAATTTGATTCGAGATTTAAATTAAAAAAACTAACAACAAATTTGTCTTGCTGAGGATCCAGGTCGAGTAATGAATAATCCGAATAACGATCACCATTCTCGTCTATTGATACATTGCCCGTAATACCTAAAGAAAAAAAAAACAAAATATTAAGCTTTGGACAATAACAATAATTTGGCAAGTAATTGCACAACTTGAAAGATCCAGCAGAAATTTCACAGTAAGGATTGCTGGAAAAGTCACCCGCATTGTAAATATAAACAGACTTTCTGTTAATGGTAATTTGTCAAAATCAGAGTGCATCACAATATCTAAGGTTATTTTCTATAGTAGCAGAAAATTTTTACAATACAATCATCGAGTTCCCATTGTTAGCAGTGGCGCTTGCATTTTCAGTAAGAACAAACTTCCTCTGCAACGCCAAAGCAATACGCGGTTCTTGTTTTTCAATTTGAAATCCGAAAATTTTTAAAATTTCTAACTTTTAGTTTTTTAAATCATACTTAAAAATTCATCTGAATGCTCCAAATTACAACGAAGTGTTCTGAGAATGTGGTTGCTAATACAAGGATTTCTCACTAATCGTTAGAACGAAAAGAAAAGTGTTCTAGTTACAATTATTAATGGATAATATCTCTCAAAATAATTTACTGCCGCCAAAAATTTCGTTTTTTACTGATGTTTGTTTCTCCTCTTTTTTTTATATGAAACGATGATCGATTAGAACTCTTCCTTATTCTGGAAAAGCTTAGTAACGATTTCGCTTTTTCGTAACCCAGCGAATCATTTCACTGCTATATCGCTTCGTTAAATGAACTGAGGTAGGATGGCGAAAGGAGAGAAAGGAAACAGTAGTAACCGTTGTTAAACTAATTTTTCTGAACAAGGAATTGGAAGTTGTTTGCAGGAATGAAATTAGTTCGAGTTTTTGAAAGTAAACGAATTACCTTACGATTTCATGAACCCAAAGCGGGAATCAAATCCCTAAACTTATTATAAAACATATTTCTGTATCCGCTGCACAATATGTACGAATACCAACATAACGCACCTGAAGTTCTTGCAGACTACATTTACAAAAAGTACACCAAAAGAAATTCCAAGCTGAAATCACTTACCAACAAAGGTTCGACTCCACATTTTACTGGTTATATTGTGCCCATTACGCGGATCCAGACCCTCAGTGAGTGTTTCATTCAGCGCTATCGCATAAAGCAAAAGTGCATCATAAAATGCACTAATAAAATTATTCATCTATAAAATGTATAACATCTTTTACCTTCACTTTAATGTAGCGAACTTGTATAAATGAACTCAAACGAGAAAAGGTAATCGGTATGTAGCTCTCAAAAACAGGTTGCTTCAGATAGTTAGGATATATATTCCAAATAAATTCCTCATCGATCGATTTAACTCAACTCCATCATTAATTATTTAAGAAAAAAGAAAGAGAAATAAACTCCTTACCTCATATTCTTTACCCGTTTTAGCTGAATAATTGTACTTTTTCTCGGCACGTTCTTTCACACGTGATTCAAAATTCTTGTATTCATCCAAGTCACTGCGCCTCAATGAAATTGTTTTCAGTGCTTGATATGCTTTTTTCGCTTTCTCATTTTCCCGAGATGTTGTGTCGTTTGACCGTAACCAAGGCCGTTCCGCATGCGATCTACAAGAAAATTTATGAAAAATTCAAGAGATTTGGTAAGGTTTTCCAAAAACTGATTATCAGAAATATCTGCTAAATTTATCAGCATCAAAACTAAAGTTGAATCACAAGTTCATAGACTTTGTAATTTAAGAAATTCATAAAAGAAATCTAAAAAATGTACCCAGTGGAAACATCAATATTGATGAAAACATATTCGCCGGATGTAGCCATACCCAAATCATATGCAGCGAGCATAATTTCTCGGACAGTATTCGGCGAGGCACATAATATTATCACTGAAAATTGAATGACATTTCAAATTAGTGAAATCTAAAAACCACAAAATAATATGATAACCTTGTCAAGTCTTTCCCTGTTTCTTTTTTTTTTGATAAAAAATAAAATCGATAAAAATAAAAAATTTCCAGAAATTTTTACAATTTTTTTTCTTTTTTTTGGAGAGGGGAGGAAGGACAGGTTCGATTAGCAAAATTGAAATGCAAACAGAAGCTGGGCTGGATGAATCACTAATGCATATGGCAGTAGCAGTAAATGATAAACAATGGTAGCGATAGTACATCAAAAGTGATCGATATTGTTTGCTAACAGGATGGATGATACAGTAAATATTTGATACAGGAGCAGTTTGTGAATAACAGCGCCGTTGTTTAATGCAGAGCTGTTGAGAAGTGACTCTTTTCAAAACTATACAATACACGAAGTGAGGATAAAAATTTTTGAATTCACCAAAAAAAGAGAAGAGTTTCTGGGAAGGAAATGCTTTCGATAGTGCAAATTTCTGTTGATGACCTGATAATAGTTACCACTAAAAAAAAAGAAAAGACACTTGAGATGAATTTGAGATGAAATGAAATTGACAAACAACACTTAAATTAAAATAATTCTCGTTCAAACATCTATAAAAATTTTCTTTTTACTAAAATTATCGAAATGAAACAAACTAAGTTGACGGTTACAATCGAATAACAAAGAATGTATGGAATTAAAAATTTCCTTCAACTCAAATGATTAAATATTTACCGTCAATATGGAGAGAGAAGAGAGATGAAAAGGGACCGAAAATTGAAAAGAAATGCAAATCTATTCGTCCAATTTATAAACAAAGTAGTCTTTTTACTAAAAATGATTTTTCCAAAAAGCTCCCAAATCACCTAGGATTATTAACCTTTCAGCATTTATTTCGTGTATCACATGATTACTAATCAATTTCATCGGTTAAGTGGAACCGACCCGCTGATTCATAATTGTTCAATTTAACCGACCGATCCGCTGATTCTTAATTGTTCAATTTAAGCGACAAATCAAAAATCTGCTTCACAAATCCATCTCGTAAAATCTATATCCGCAGTTCTTCCTCCTAGCGTAGTATTTTAAAGTACTGATTTTTTAAGTAATATTTTACAAGTAAATGGATAATTTCAAGGATTATGGATAAAATATGGATAACTGCATAATTACAATAATAACCAAATTCAAAAAGCACTTCCAATATTGCAGAAAACGATGCTGATTCTCGTAACATTTATAATTTAGTATTGCAGCACAAATTTCACATACCTTGCCCTCATTTCCAATCATTTTTTCCATTTACTCCTCGCTTAAATTCAAAACAGCATGCCCGTTAATTCATTAATTAGCATGCTATCAATCTCCAACAACTTCACATTCTTAGCTGCTAATGTCTACATGTCACTTAACAATATTTAGTATTAGGAATAAACACAAATTTTGTTTGAAATTAGTAAGACTGATGTAAGATAAATAATTATATATAAGATCAACTCTGGATGTAATTAAATTAAATTATGGAAGCTAAGTCTTCTATGAAATATTATATCATAAATACTGTAAAAAGCTGCACCTGCTGATATCGAAATCTTTGATAACCTAAACAAAATCTTCCTTTGTCTATTACTATTCCATTTCTATTTAGGCTATTTATTTATCTAATGTATGAAAAGGAAAGAAGAAAGGCTTCTTTATTTATAGTAAAGCCATTATGAAAGCAAACCAACATATTTACTCTTGTTAATACTGGCATCATGGAAATGGGTTCAGAGTCCAATTGTATACACTAATGGGAAAACGTTTGAGAGAACTCATTCTGATTATCTTAGGTTCGGAATCCAGCACTGCACTCATAATTTCAGGATTAAAAAAGATGAAACAGAAACCTATATAAACGGTTAGGATTTGGAAGTTGCCATGCGATATTAACTCTGTAATCCGAACATTTATTTCATAAAAGATTAAAATAATTTCAAAACTTATCTGAAACAATAAAGCCACCATGATGATTATCCCTTTCATTTAATAAGTAGTGCATTTTGAACATATGCTAACAAGTAACTTATTTGACTAAAATCGTTTCTTTTTTAATTTCATTATGAATATCTGCTTATCGGTCCCGAAATCTGTATGACATAGCCATCAATAAATTTGACTTCCGCAACCATTTCAACAGCTATATTCCTTGCACTTCGAATAAATCACATCTTTCATCCCTCGCACATGAAATTATCCTTAGTTTGCTATGAACTTTTTAAAAGTTCGCTAGTAAAGTACAAGAAGCGAATTTTCAAAACGTATTCTTCAAGCATCCTTTGAAAGTAGACAAACTCTTCCTCTCCTCATAGAAATTTCAAGCGCATTTTTCCTCTCCCTTTAAAGTTTTATTAACATAACGAAATGAGAAAAATGGTAATTATAAAATTAACAGAAAATTGTTTGCCGAGATACTCTGAACTTCTCTACAGAAAGCTAATCCTTAAAGACAGGAAAAAATGAGATTTGTATCAATAGCATATTTCGCTGCATGTTCTTACTAGCTTACGCATATATTAATAAAAATAGTTGTGGCCTAATCTCCCACCTGTTCTCTTCAATATGTAAATAAAAAAGCATAACAATTACTTACAGGTTGGATTTCAGTGCATGTACCAGAACTGAACAGTTAGCAAAAATCCTCAATGAGCTCATAAAATTCAAATAAGAAAATGAATTTTTACATATCGATGAAAACGATTACATGAACTAATGAGGTCTATTCGAATGTCACATGCTCGGCAGCAGTCATTGCCACTGATTTCATTCATCAGCGCATCAGCGCAGGTTATTTGGTCATTTTAAATATTACAATGATAATTTTTCACAATTCCATGTATAAATATGTCATTTATGTGTGATTGGTGTTTAAGTAAAGCACAATATTTCGTATATGAAACTCCTCGATACAACAGTTCCTAATTTGAAATGAGAGAATGGAATGCTTATTATCAGTGGAAGAAACGACAATATCTTTCGATATAGCTTTAAATTGACACAACCAAAGCCTGGAGAGAACTCTCACTCACACACACCACCGCTTCAATATGGGGAAATAAATGAAATGAATGGAAAGAGGAGTAAAAAAAAATTACCAAAATTTGAAAAGGATTACCGGAAAAAAAACATGTACAAGATGGGAGTAGTTTTGTCTAAGGGAAGCTTTGATAGCAGCTCTCGCTAGCTTGATTATCATCCCTTTTTTGTATCCGAATTCAAGAACACATTTTTTTTGGTAATGCTACAACACTTAAGCGCGAAATAGAAATCATGAAAAGAGAACAGACATCTGAAGGAAAACCCAAAACAGTGTTAGAAGTTTCAACAATGAATGTATGAGAGGGATAATAAATTAGAAAGGAATTTAAAGAGGCATTAAATTCAATCAACACAAGTGGTAATATTTTTTGTTCTGAGGAAATGATGTCCAAGTTAATCATTTTCTCGAAGGGAATTTTGTAAACAAAGAATGAAAAAAGAAGGAATATTTTTGAGATGTGATAAATTACCCATCCAGAAAGTAACTGGACTTAATTCAGTAATAAATCAATTTTTATTTGATAAAACTGATGCTAAGAATCTTTATTTTTTCACATTTCTCTGAAAAAAAAATGTAGGCTGTTTCCATACGAAGGAAAAAGTATGAAATGGCTTGAATAAACTAACCAATTTACATATGTTAAGTGAAAAATGATGCCAATATTGATGATCGATATGTAAAAAACATTAGAATTTTTGTCTCTTAGAGTATTAGATTGTTCTACTGCTATATGAAATGATAATACACAAAAAATCGAAACATCCACCAAAAAAAAAATTATAAACAATGTCAATTCCAACGAAGCATAAGTTTGAATTATAATTAATTAAGCGTACTCAAGCTACAGCCAAAAAAGTCGAAAGTCAATGTTTTATCTTTTAAGCAGGGGGTAATAACATTAAACTTACAGGAATCACACTCAATCTGGATACCCACCAAATCTGGAGGTAACTGATACATCCCAGAGAAATTCTTCTTAAGACCACATAAAATGTTTAAATTTTAAATTCTATCTAAAGTTTCTCCGAAAACATTAATTTTCCGTGTCGGTTTAGAATGAAAGATAAACAAATGTTCATATTCATATTCCAATAATCAGTTCCAGACTAAATGCTGTCGGATTACCGAAGAGCGAAAACAAACTTTTCAAACAAAGAAAGAAACAAACTTATTGTGATGAATTAACACCGAATAATAGAAATTGGAAGAAAAGCAAGAATGCTTCCATCGATTACAATTACAGGAAGAGAAAAAAGGATGAATTACTGTCAAAAACATCTAAGGACCCTTCTTAAAAACCTCAGTTTCAGATTTCCAGAATAATTTTCAGGAGCTTGAAATCAAAAAAAAAAAAAACGACTATACAATACTATTTTGAAGTACTGTACAGCATTCAAAGACCGACCATAGTTCCGCAGTATTTCTTAGAATGATATGAAATGTAGAAAACTGCATAATTTATCTTAATTAATCGAAAATATAATGTAAATTAAAGAGTGACAAAACGCACCATTGGCAAGTTCCGAAACAATCTTTAGCCAACTTTCAATTTCACCCGGAATTCGTGCAATTTCTTCATCGAATGCCAACGAGGGGGTTTGAATTTTCCAAGCCTCCTTGAAATAAGCACTTTTTTCGGTGAAAAAATTTTTTATAGCATAGAGTGTGAAATAACAGTGACTGGAAACACTTTCGACAACCATTACTTCACCATTTGCTAATCTCGGTCGATTCACAGCTCGACGTTTATCGTGATACATGAGAACCAGATTCTGATAACCCAGCGACAAGCGTGATTCCTGGACCGGTGAGCGACTTCGTAAGGCGCTATGCAACCCGGAGCCAGAGGTAAATTTTCCATTACCTTTGTCTATCGATGCACCTTTTTCGAATTCTTCCCGATATGCAATCAGCTTGTACATACTATCAGCCATTTGTCGATAGCTACCTTGTATTCGGGTGAGGAACGGGTATGTCTGCCGATCACCGAGATTCGACACCATTCCAGCGGTAGTGATTACTGGCACACCATGTCCGAAAGCAGCAGTAATCTTGGATGTGGTTGCCAGACTGTAACTATCAGCGAATCCAAGGATTGCATCCAGGCGATGCGAACAGTAGGCTGTTACGACACCAAGGGTTGCGAAACGTTCCGCCAAATTTGCATTTTCCGAGAATTTCGAATCATGATATGTGAAATTCAGGAAATCGGCACCTATCTTTCCAGACTGGATCGCATCCATCACGCTGATATCAATTACTGGTCGTGCTTTCGGCATTGTAATTCCAAAATTATCGTTGTTTGATTCATTTTCCGGCAGAACGACGAGGACATTAAAGGGTAACTGGTGACCGTTTATCGCGGAACGACTTATCTTGTCGTCAACAACCTCACCGAAAGTTGTTCGTACAAAGTTACCAAACAAAGCGATGCTTATAAGAAGGGAAATGGTAACAGCTTGCTTTTTCCTTGGTAACCGGCCGAAGTGAGACCGAAATTCGGTGACCGCTGTCATGACAATAACAGATGTCATTAATGATGCTTGCAATGACAGGCCAAAATCTATCATTTTCGGACATTCGATTAATGAAAGTGCTGATAATGTTGATGGTGATGATAATGGAGGTAACTAAGGTAGTGTTCTCTTGGCTAGTCATACAGCAACGATGATAATTCTTCTAGCCATATGATAAGGCTCTAACAACAACAGATAACGGATGTTTAACGTAATTTCCATTAAAATGATTAATTCTCAGTAATGTCTAAGCTCTTCTGCGAGAGTTTAGAAGGCAATGGTAGTCGTCTTCGCAGGGGGCGGACAAAGCAGTAACAATGGGTAGAATTCCCGTAATGATGCAAAACAAGAGACGGTCAAAGTTGATTCCGTAAGTGAAGCCATCGAAGTTCAAATAACGGTAGCGATAAACGTAGTTGTTGAACATAACAATAAAAGCGAGTAATAAACAACGAGAACAGTATCGAAATCTCTTTTCTTTCTCTTCCTCTCCCTCTCTTTTTCTTTGTTCGTTATAGTAAATATAATATACAAGAGTCTGAAAATTACCGATAAATAATAATTTCATCAATGCTTTCTGTTTAAGTCAGAAACATTGAAGCATAGAGAGGAAGTTTGTAGGAAAGGAATTCAAAACGAAAAGTGGTTATTATAAAAGTTCGGCGCAAAATACTACTGCAAGGGAATTGAGCTCAGCATCCGACTGGCAGAAGCCTAATTATAGAGTTACTTACAGCTGTGATAATATATCCAAAAGACAAGAACTGATTATCGCCATCATCGTTGACCTTATCATCATTATCGTTGACAACATGCTGAGTGCTACAGCTACATTTACTATCTCATAACCGTCAAATTAAGAAAATTTCAGCCTGTGAGAGATTGTTATTTTGCAACAAAACTCCTTCGGTGGTAGCAGAAAAAATCAAACTTTCTGCCATTGGTACGACCGAGAAATTTAAGTGAAAGCCAGACTACTGCTTACACGGGTAAGTTCATCACATAGTGAAAGATTTGGTAATCATGTCACTAGAGATTATTATCATTCGGTGATAACAATAAAAGTAACATCAGGTGAAGAGGTGATACGCACAAGTACGCCAATAATTCGCAAGTCCTACCACGCCCACCCACGCACATAAACGGGGGCTTCTCCACCCACGCAACATACACATAGACTTCTTCACCCACGCACATATCAACAACAACTGCAAACAACGGAAGCGTTATATGTATATCGACAGCGTGCGCCCAAAGCCATCCGTCTGCCAGTCATGCCACTGCTTCCCTGTGGCTGTCTGTTAGTATATATGTGTCTGTCGCCACCATTACATATATGTGTGTGTGTATATGTGTATGTACCACACAAGCTACGCATTTATCTGCAAATGTATGTCCGCTGATAAGTAGCAAGGTGGGATAATTAGTGATGCTGATATTAAGTGCTCATTATTTACTGCTATGTTACTTGAATACGTGAAGGATGATTGCTACCTACACGTATTACGTCAGTTTTACAGGTAACTTTCTATTCACGCAACAGAAGAACGGACAAGGATTGGTGAGAGAAGAGGAGCGTAAGGGAAGGACTGGTGTTCAGTTTAGTATCCATCCATGAGAGAAACGAATGAAAAAAGGGTGAATGAAGTTGTCGTCGCTTCATTATTAAAGCGAAGAACATCACAGATACACACACAGACAGACACACACACACGCAGACACATACACACGCATATACACACACATACACCTGTAGCTATCTCTTCAGCCAATTCCTTAGAACATAGCACACTTATTGTCCAAATCCAAGTTACGAATCCTGTGGAGCGGAAAGAGGATGCAAATCTTTGGGACTTCAGGACATGTAATAAGGAGGTGTTCTCAGTGATAATATATGTCTTCTGTCTTCCTTTTCCTTTATCGTTCCAAATCAACTCTTCCTGGCCTCTGGACAACAGGGCCAAAATAAATAACCACTATTTTATAGAATCATTTGTCTGATTATTCCTCTCCACCCGATTTAAACAAAAAATACCTTATCAACTGCCACGATCTGGGAATTCCGGTGGCCGTGTCACGCGTTAACGCCAGAATAATAGCTCATGCATTGCAACATCAATTTACGATGAAGGAAGTAATGATGGGACTAGGATGAGAAACAGAAGCTGTTGTTTTCTGTTATCTATGTGACAGTAGAGGTCATTTATTTAAACTATCCCTTTCTAAGTCTATTCAATATTTTGGTGCGAATCCTTCCACTACCAACATCTAGAAATAAACGGTGAAAAACTGATGCACATTTTACATATAGCAGAGAGCAGGAGGACTGGTTCTTCTTCAAAACTTCTTGGAGATGCAGAAAAGCAGGACTTATGAGCGATTATTAGTCTTGATCTTACTCCATCCATAGTGCCATTTCTGCAGGCATCTAATAGTTAAATATCTATCAATCTTCTCCGTTAACATCGCCAACTAGAATTCCTGAAGATTCTAGACAATGAGAAAGATTGATCTCTTTTAATCTTTTTCTTTTTGAAGTCTTTTTTGCATAAGCGAATGGTTTTGTTTACAAAAAAATGGGATATTACTATGACAGTGATACTGTAAATGATGACTACTACGTTATCACCATCGTGATAGAAGGAAAATGAAATGAAAGAAAGGAATAGTCTATGTAAACTGCAATGTTCATGGCTAATACGAAATGCAAGGATAAAAATAGTGAAAAAATGGCGATAAGAAAGATAATTATGATTGCATTAATAAGAAATGTTAAGAGAGGAGACAAGGACATTAAAGTCATTCGATTTGTATTGGGATAAAAAAAAACGAAAAAAAGGAAAAATGAAGATGGAAGAGACCCTGAAGTGATCGAATAACTAGGAGAAAAGATGCTCAATCTACTCGAAACAACAATGTAATTGCTGTGCAAAAGCAAAACCACTGCAATTCTTTTTTTTTTTTATGCTATCAAAAACGAACAAAATAGAAGGAAAAGCAAAGCATGGTGTTCCGGAAGCAACAAGTGCAAACAGTAACTTGCCGACATCACTTCAAAAGGTCAATAAATATGCTATTTGTTGATCATCTGAGCTATTTACGATGCAAATCATTCTCACTTTTTTTTTGTTTTTTTCGGAACGAGGAATTCATTTTAGATTTCAACCAAAAAAATCTGTTCTCCGTTTCATTTCATCGTGATTTAATCACATTCTTATGATCGACAAAAATTTATTGTTTTAAAAATTTGCTATTTATTTCATAAATTTTAACATATTCACAGGGGAATTTGAATTTTCCCCAGGAAAATAAAACAACAATGAGAAATAGGAAGTAATGGAATGAAGAGTAACACCCATTCCGTGGCTGTCATATCATCCTGCTTTACCGCATCCGTTACTCATTTGAACCACATTTATCTGTGTTTGGGTGATATCCGCCTACAACCGCGCTTATCATCTGATGTCTGACGATTTTCCGATACTTTTCATTCCAAGATTATTTAATACTATCCTTTTGTCGTAGAAACAACAAGCAATTATTACATCTCTTATCAAAAATAAATGATGCAAAATTGTCCGCGTAAATTAATTTGTTACTAAAACAAGGAACAAGTTCAAATTCATCCGTGCTATCAGAATCGTTTTATCATACTAAATGACAATTTCGACCTAGTAAGATATCATTGGATCTCAATAGGCCAATAGCCGGTATTAGCTAATATGTATCTTAGGAACAAAAAAATGCGGTGATAAGAACTAAGGTACTGGATGCCGAATATTTAATTAGAAAGAGCCGATCCAAGGTGAAACCACTTTCTGCATACCTCCCGGATACTTCCCGGAGAGCCTCATTCCTTAAATAATTTTGTTTTTGGCTGTTTCAACAAAAAAAACTTTATAAATTTTCAGAAATTCGCTGTGAAATAGATCTCTAGCCTTCAGGGAATAACGAATTTGGTCAGGATGTATGGATATTTTTTCATTGCAAAAAAATCGCTCATTGGTAATAGCATATGGTAGCGCAAAGTAGCCATAGGATACTGTAAAGTTGTATTAGACTATTTTACCAGATGAGGAACGACCTGGATCGTGTATTTAACGGATAGTTTCTGGCCTATATATCATTAAACGATAGTTATTGGAATGTTTTGCTTCCAGAATCTATAGCGTACTGATATGCTTCATAGAATGAGTTGAATTGTTTTTATCGGGTTCTAGAATAATTTCACAACTTGTATATTCCAGGAAGGTTTTTCATATATGTAAATAAAATCAAGAAAAGATAAAACCACTTAGCTAAGACGCTAAACTTCAATAATATTAAAGAAATTTTATTGAAATTCAGTGACATTGGAACAAAAAAGATATGATTGATAATCAAGAATTAGGAAAATTCGGCGGCATGCAGATTATTTGCTGATATTTTGCATGAGACAAGAAAAATTTATTGAATAAATTGTGACACATTGTGACACCCATTATTCCCTTCCTTTCACTTTCATTTATTTTTTAAGGGGGAAAAAAATATCAGACGGACTTCCCCAGGAAAAATGCATGGAGGTAATGGTGAATTCAAATAACCCGGAAGAATAACATTTTCGCTTGAAAGATTTCCCAATACCTCAAACAGATTTCATTTACGGAAAGTATGAAGAGATGGGAAATAAGAAATGTGTGGAAAAGTATAATATGAAATGCTAACACAGCGAGAAGGTTAATTCCAGCATCCTAGACAGTGCATAAAATCAATGATACTGTGCCCGAGCTCAGTTCCTTTCCGATGCTGAAGCAATAATAATATCCAAAAGTAGACTGTATTGTGATGGTAATTAATTAGAATTGGAGTTAAACTATGATATTAGAAAATGAGTACAATTACGAGATATTACATGAATATATCTTCTGCTGAAGACTTCTACGAGTATGAGAAACGATTTCTAGAGAATGACTATACATAAAAGCTTAGAAGCTAAACGATAATATTACAAGAAAAGAGGGTTAGTATTAGAGATATTTCGCAAAGCAAATTTCTTTATTAACTGAAAAAGTTGGGAAGTTATTCCTCAGAGATCCTATAAATACTTCCAAACACTCTATCCTGAACACTATCTACAGAGTTTGGAGAAAAATGCATTCTCTTCAACTATTTTGACAGATCTTAAATCTAATTTACAAGGCATTCCTATTTAGCGCCAAGCTTTTTGCATATAAATTTGATCTCGGCTTAAGTTTTTCAACACACATAAGAATAATATGCAACTTGAGGACGTTTTTTTTGTAGGAAATTGTTTTTAATTAGTATACTTGGTATTAATAGTTTCAGAATAACTTAAAACCTTTAAATAAAAAAGTGAACCAAATTTAAATCGCAATAAACACCGCTTTAGTAAAAGTATTTCCAACAATGTACTTAAACGAACTTATCATCTGATTAAATTGATTATATTTGATTATAGTTTCACAATTTTGTTACATAGTATTAATGTTAAATCAGTTGAATTATAATGTCCTGAAATTAATAATAGAAGGAAATTTAGACAACGACCGCGCTATCATCAGAAAAAGATAATATTTTCGTTCTAAAGCTCATTTGAGACAAGACTGGTATCTACGAATAGATAATGAATAGGAACATGCCACAGTGATAAGAAAAGCACAGTTGAGAGAGTTATCAGAAGTAATTTCAGCAGACAAATGCAAGAATAGGAAGGGAAGTCTAGGTGTGACAGTTAATATAGCAAGTTCAATATTTTCTCGATGAAAGAAAGAAAGGAAGAAAAAGTTAATTTGCAGCTTAGTATGGAAGAAATGCACTTCCTTTCCATCCTTTCAGAAAACGAAAATAATTTGAAATTGGATAATATTGAGATGGATAAAAGGGAAGATTAGACGACCTTTTTATCATTTTAGCCCAAGTGTCAATTGTGCAAGCATCAATGACTTTGACTGCATATAATAAGGTGCAGGAAAGAGCGTTTAAAATTGAAATAGAGAGATAACGAAAAAAAGTAGATGGAGGAGGAAGGCTATTGGAGAAAACAGCAAGCTTTAGCTTAGTCTAAAATTATCCATCATAAAGTAGAATTAGCTAGCTAAGGAAAATTACATGAAATTAGAATGAAGTAGACAAGGTAAAAGCTATGCTTACAACTATCGATTGCAAATTGAGTGTTTTTCAATTGCATAATACACATATATCGTTGCATTCATCTCACTTCCTTCAAAGGAAATGTGAATGTGAAATTATTCATTGTTAAAAAGAGACAGAAGGTTCAAAACAGGAAAAGGCGCTGGGCTGGCTAGTTTGCTTGTTGTAAGAACACATTGGATTCTTCTGGAACTATCTTCTATTAATGTAATAATATCCTCTTCTTGAAAAATAAGGGAGCAAGATAGGATATGCTAATTTTGTTTAATTCATATCCAGTTTCTCTCCTTATTCTGTTCTTCCGGAATTATTTGCAAAACTTAAAAAATGGAATGAGAAAATTGAAAAAGATGTTTTCTCATCCTTCTTTTTCCAGTGAAACTAAAAAATTTTGCAGTGTCTGCTGGGCACAAAACAATCGGGATAAGCGCTTTCACGAAACAATGGTAAACAAAATAGAAATGATGTCTGTCAAAGGCAGAATTTTCTTATTCATTCTTCTGGCACCTCAATTTTCCAACATTAAAACTGAATAAGTTTGCAGCTTTGTCAGTTTGTGGAGCTAAAAATTCTATAACATTTCAAATTCTGGGAAGTTCCATAAATTTAAATGTGACGAAAAAAAACCATATGGTGAAGACGTCAACTTTGGTATGAACTTCCTGTTATTATAACTTCCCACTAGCATCAGAATTGTTAATTAGCTGATAGCCTAAGCCAGCGACAAATAAAGCAATTGTTATTTGCAGTATCCGAAACTTTTGTGTTCTTTTCCGCCTTTATTATTATTTCCAAATTTTCAGAAAAAGCTGTGTAATACTACAAAATCACTACAAAATCAATAACGAATCCAAAAATCCAGTTCCATTTGCATAAAGTTGACATTTTCATTTAGCAAACTCTCAAAAAGCGAATTCGATAAAGTGTGCCGCTGAAATTGCGAGAAGCAGTAAATCAATAATTGCTTTGATACTGTTGGTATAATGTATTGTATGTATAGATATATACTGTGCAATGTAAACTAATATTGTGCATCCACTGTTTTATGTTCCCTAATAATAATGATTCTTGTGACCCCAGAAGTGACCTCAGAATTGACCTCGAAACTGACCTCAGAACTATCTCAGAATCCGCCCTATTCGAGGAAGAAAAAGGTCCTGAGCACCAAATCATTTTGGAAAGACGTGTTCCAACAGGTCGGTTGGAAAGGCGATAACGGGCATCATTTGGTCTTCGGTCCCCCTTTTGTTCATATTGATATTGTAATTGTTGAATTCGTTTCTGTATTAACCAACGCATAGGAATAAAAGTTTAATTACCCAAACCAACTAAAGAGGCAGAAAGAACCCTCAGTTTTTGTCACGGTTGAAGAGAATCGGCGACAAGGTGGATTTGATTAAAACTACGTATCAGTTTGAAATAAGAATGCAAGAGGCTAAGCAAATTTAGAGTGGAACTTTTGCAACTTAAATATGCGAGGAGAAAAGCAAATAAACATATGCACATATAAACACATACATACACACAAACGAACAATTTGCAGTTCGTTTTTCGAACGAGCGAAGGTTGCACTTCTTTTTGCAAACACCATTTCCATATGTTCTCGCACCCTCCCAAGTGGTTTATTCATTTTTCGAAAACTGCGAGTTGTTAAAACGAGTCTTTCGTTTCTTTCCTTTACAGTCTATTTATTTTTGCAACGAAATTTCTTTAAAAGCAATTCTTTACTGGCATAAGTATGAAAATATCTTTATGAAAAGTTGAACGAACAAACACTTCAGCTTCAACACAGGCAACTACTCTTCTTCCAAAAATTTTCAACAACCATAAATGAAAATCAAGTATTTAGTTAAAATAAGTTGGAAGAAAGCAAGGAAAATAAAATTTTCATCGACTGATGCATGACATTGCATGCATGACATTTTTATGACTTCAGATGAATCCATACCTATCAAAACTTCATCTCAAATGATCAAGGATGTATGACTGACCGTTGATTCAAAATCAGTCTTGAAGAAGCTGCAAATAAACGAAGCGAGAGATGCGCAAATGTGTCAATGAGAAAAAGTGGAAGAAGTGACCAAAGAGAAGAGAATATATTCCAGTACTGCTTCTTACCTGTCACAAAAGTACTTAACTCCCTTTCATATTCACATAACTTCACTTCCTCTCTCTCTCTCTCTCTCCTCTCTATTTACTTATTGTTTTCGACCCGTAAAGTTTCTGTATTTTATAGTGCTAGTAAA